GCGGGGAAGCCGAAAGTAAGGCCAGCCCAACAACCTTTCCCAACACCGGAACAGTACGACTCCCAACACAAAAAAGGACAACAAATAGGCAACCTATCATTGACACTTTACTACAAATCAAGCTTCAGTGTCCTTCTTTTCCTCCGTTATCACCTTTCGACAAGCGGACTTAGGCTTCTCACTCTTCCGAATCTTCCGCTTCAGCGCAGCCCTTAGTGCGCCAATACGTGCATTACGCTCAGATATAGCATTCGGATTCAGTTTGATAAGGACCTAGATTGATAGGAACAGACAACTCTGAGACATACCTGCATGTTCTTTAGGGGATTTTTCTTGACGTGCGAGCGTCTTCGCTGATGATCCATTCTCCTGGGGCGAAGAACGTTGCGAATGGCCCGACACGTAAGGAGGCGAGTAAGATCAGTATTAGTTACCTTAGAAGAAGGCAAGTGGAAACCATTCTTCATGCTACTACCAGTTTTCCAGGTACCATACAACTTGTCCAGTGTACGAAAAGCACCCTCAGTCCAGATAGTAAAGCGCCCCATATGGCCACCAGGAGCAAGTTTAAGTATGTTAAGGTATTTTACATTCAACAGAGTAACACCTGGAATGTTACGGAACGCCCGCGTAATTCCATCATCCTTTTTATACACAACAATAGGACCTCGCTTCATGATATGACGACGATTCCTCATTTTGCCACGGCCCGCACGATTCCTTTTCGAATTGTAAACCTTCTGAATATCTGACCAAGCTCTAAGTTTTTTCAGAACTTTCACAGCTTCCTTTGTCTTCTTGATCTTTTCTATATCTGCTGACACAACTAATGGAAGCTCTGGAATTTTGTTCACTCGATGTCCTCGAGCCATGACCAAAGCTGGGACGCCCGTGGCGGCAATAGCCGAGCACATGGCAAAGCGCCTCTGTTGAATATTGACACGGCGATGCCAACGCCTCCAAACTTTGGTAGGAGCATACATATGACCTCCGCGACACATGTTTCCGAAGGCACCCTGTCCGGAGCGATGAGTACCGCCTCCGCGAACACGGGGAATCCTAGCAACAGCTCGACCAGTGCCCCACGACTCGGCCGATGTTTGGTGACCAGCTTTGGAGCTTACGGCATATGGTTGACGCGAATTTTTTCGCAAACTATCATGAACAAAATTCAAAATATCACTGCGCATTGGCGCCCCGAATACTGCCGGCATTTTTACTGTAGTTTTAGTACAGCCACCAGAGAGATCGTATACATTTACCAATGGCCTACAAATAGCCTAAACACAGGAATCATGATGCGAAAACTAACCCACCATCTTGACGTGCAACACCTTTCGGATGGCTGAAGTGGTCAAACATCATAAATTTAAACAAGCGACAAATGGATTTACTTTCACAACAAAAGACTAATTAATTAATTCCCATCAATAAATAACCGTTTTAATGTTCACCGCGAGCTTTAAACAGAAGTCACTTGGAACATTAAATTTAGCAAGGTTTCCTAGGAAAACCACATCGGTTCGTTTATTCAAAAAACGTTCACATAATTTGTCTTGTGGGTAAAAAATTGAGAAGTGCACTAAAAATGTAGTGCCATTCTTGTCGCTAAAGTGCTGAACAATTGCGCTGATAAAGTTTGTTTGCACATGTTATTGGTAAATCTTTTGCAGTGACAGTAAAAGCTATGTAAGCGTTAAGGAGTACCTAGCATATTCATAAAGTGGCCCTAAGTGACTGATATTTAAGGGGGCGCCACGCCACATTGATAGAGCTGTAGCGGCCCGAGCCTTTCCATAGGGTGGAAGAAGGCATAACTGAGGCTGAATACATGTATTCCAAAGACGGCAGAGCAAATGGTGCCTGAGCGTGGCCCGAAGGCCAGCCCACGTGTACAGGGACCAGACAAACTCTAAAGTGACCGCAAAACTTCATGCGGTCAAATAAACAAAGTATTACGAGAACATCCTCTTTGGTTAAGAATTTATGCGTATTTATACATGCGATTAAGGCGAATGTAAGATGACATAAAGCACACTTTCGTCTAACATTTAATAATTACAAGGTCCATCTAAACTTCTAAAACAGTTTTCATTAAAAGGCGCTATGTTAACAATTCTCTTGAACTTCGCTACTATTACATTTTGTTAAAACTTTTGCTAAAGTGCCTGTAGAAACTCCCTGCCTACCCTCATACGCTTGATACTCGGACTTTTGGAGAGCTTTAGTTGCGGTAGCTTTATTAGAGGATAGGAGTATAGATAAGAAGCAATCCTCACGAAGCTCACGCACCGGCTTGGTGTTTAATTGACGTTCCGTCTCTCCGCTATAAATGTAAACTTTTAAAACATTATCTATTACAATTTTTATTTGTTTGATTGCTAGCCTCTGTAGTCGCCAAAGGTTTTTAATGTTGTCTTACCCGGAGTGATGACCTTCGAGTTATGTTGAATGCCCTTATCTCTTTTATTTTGCCATCCGTCAATTGTGAGGGAGTCTTGATGCCTTGTATATCTATTACATTCGGATTAAACTAAAGGCGATTTTCGATATTCTGGCGGCCTACACGGCAAAGTATGCCATAAAGGAGGAGATTAGTTCTAATAGGGTTCCGTCCGGCAAAGCAAAGTTACACGGTATTTACTGCCAAGCCATCAACGCCGTTTTACGCATTCCAGCGATTTTTCGTCATTTTTATTGATTACTTATCAAATGTTCATGCAAATACAACTTGTGCTACAGTGACCGTATTCATCGCCGCGAAGCATTTGTTTGAATAGTATGGTTGCGTTGTTGCCACAGTGGTCAGTGGCTCCCTTCACGATAATAGCTTGGCGTTTCCCAAAATTAGACGCCTTTTTCGATTCGCTAGTCTTCTTCACATATGTGAACGCAAGAGGCATATTTCTTCTGTCTAGTATCCAGCTAGTTTAATAAGATATTCGGATTTGCGCATTGGGTTTGCTTGTTGTTGCACTTAATACAGTGTTTTAGTTCTCCTCTGGGATTGCAACAGGTCGCAATCACTAGTTTGGAGTAGATCGACATTTTAAAGCGGAAGGAGATTCGTGAAAATCTGAATCCTCCGTATAGGTCTACGCAAATCGAAATAAAAAGGTTGGAGGCAGACATTGCAGAGCAGTTCAAGGATCACAAATTTATTGTTACAACTAAAGTTCCTTGTTTTACTTCAGCTGAAATCTTGGGACCGATCACAAACCTAACAAAGTATGGTGGCAATTAACTTTCAACATAAAAGAAGACAATGAAGCAAGTCGTTTACAAAATGAAACGTAAGAAAGAGGAAACGAATGGGCGCTGCGGAAGTAAGACTGCATGAAATACACAGACGTATGCTAAAAATTTTACGGTATAGAATATTACATAGGCACTGTCAAAACAAGTATCCCAGCATTAAACCAGCGATGCAGAGACTACGAAAAGCGCATAATGGCGTAATTTCGGTAACCAGATCCAAACCAAGTTCAGTCGGAATTCAAAGAAGAAAGTCAAAAACACAAGAAATCACTGCTACGGCTAATGAAAAGGCAGAATTATAAACAGCCACATAACGTTCAATGGGCGGGCAACTGCTGCAGGTGCGCTCGCAGGTGAAAAGGCAAGATGTTTGGCCCATCAGACCTAATGTAAAC